TCAGCAGAAATTCATCCTCTAAACTCTTTGTAAAATTTTTTATGTAGAATGGCTATAATATCTGACAGACATAAGATTGAGATCAATGCCCTGCACAAGTTTTCCGTCTAGTTAAGACAGTATAGTGAATGAGACATCAAATTAATATAGAGAAAAAATAATGTTGTCTTTGAAGGCTTTTTGGTATGGATAGGGAGTCTATTACTGAAATTGTAGGTCTAATTTTTTTTCAGGGAGAAGCAGCACATGGAGAGAATGCCTCAGATCTCTGCCTGCTTTGTTTATTGTCTGTAGAGATGTAAGTTTTGGTTGATTTGGAGCAAGCTAGACCTGTGTGGAGTACATAAATGTAGATTCTCTTCATTTCTAAAGCTGATGTGAAAGGAGATTGGATGCAGTTTCCTTTAGGAAGCTCTAGTGGCTTTATTTTCTTAGAATCAGTTGTGACTTATTTATCAGTGTTGCTGACTTGCACTTCCTCGTGTTTTCAAATGGGACGTTGTCTGCTCTGTGTGATGATCTTCCAACACCGTTCGGAAATGTCACAAATGCATTAAATGTCTGTTCTGGAAAATTCCAGTAATGCCGAGTGTTGGAAAGTCCGGGTGAGGTTTTTCTGCTGTTCAGTACGAGTTGTTTAAATTATTGTGTAATTACGCATTTCCAGGTTAAATGCAGAACCTGATGGATGGCCAAAGCTACCATAACCTCATGGACAGGTTGTCCGTCTGTACCGAGACTCAGCGCGTACAGCTGGCTAGGCCTTTCTTTGCCGAGCCAGTGGTCACATTTCACGTGTACCCAGAAACACCAAACCAGGGCGCTTGCTCTGAAGACTTGTCGTTCCTTCCTTTCATATCTGAGCATCTCATCGCGGAGAACTTCTACAGTGAGCCCTGCGCCTTTCCCTCCCAAATGCCCCATTCTAATTACCGCAAAAGCGAGTACTCCTATGGGCCAGCTTTCATCAGGAAGAGGAATGAGAGGGAAAGACAGAGGGTTAAATGTGTCAACGAAGGCTACACTAAACTGAGGCATCACCTACCTAAAGAATATTTGGAGAAACGGCTCAGCAAAGTAGAGACACTCCGTGCTGCAATAAAATACATTAGCTACCTACAGTCTGTTCTGTACGGTGACTCTGTGGTGGCAGAAAAAAATGTCAAGGAGCCAAGCCAAGCACCTAGGGCAGTTAACAAAGAAAACCAGTTTTTGAAGACAATCTAAACTGTTCCAAACCAGGTGAAAGATATCCTGTCTGGGAACCTAGCAGCCACTATATTGTTAATGACGTGCACAGTCCTGGCACATCTTAGGAGCAGATCATAGCGTGCGTCAGTATCAGCCCACATTCTCATCTGAATGGCCTAAGTTAGTTAATTCATGGAAATAGGAAAGCGTTTCTAAAATTGTCAACAAATTGTAATATCTATACGTGTGCAGTAACTGTATGTATCGTCACAACCTGCATACTTTAAAATAAAATCCTTCCACTTACGGGACTGAGATTCCTCTCATTTTCTGGAATGTTACTGGTTTACTCTCATGCACTTTCATAAAAGGTTTTTGGTCTAATTGCCAGTGTTTCACTGAAAAGGCCTTTTAAAAAGTTCCCAGGAATGTTGTTAGATGCCAACAGAAAGGATAATTTAAAAGGGCGAAGACAAAAAGAGGAGGGTAGCAGCTCTTATGGTTACTGAACATAGGAAGAGCATAATGTCTTGCAAGTGCTGTTTCATTCTTTTCTTATTAATGAATATTTTAATCCCATCAAAAACTGTTGACTTAGCTTAATTTCTGTTGAAAATCGGATTCTTCAGCTGTCAGTGCCCTTAAAAATTACTAGGACTGCTCACGCAATACACGGTATAAAGAGGGTTGGCAAGGTCTTGGCCTTGGCGGGCGGGGCTACATAATCCTGCAACAGAAATTTTTGGGGACTTTCTCTGATAATGGTTGAGGTCTGGGGTGGTCTTCCCCAAACTCCCAGTCTGTTCCTCTGTGCTGCTGATGGTTTCAGCTAAGTGGTATAGAATAGATTTATGTGAAGATGGCGAAGAAAGTTTAGCTCATAACTGGAGAAGTGTTTTAACATTTACTATACGTAAGGGAATTGTATTACTGATATTAAAGAACCGTTCTGCTGACAGCATGAGAGCAGGTAGTCCGTGGGTGCAGCAGAATGTACAGAAAATGGTTACAGACTTTTGAAGTGCTGGATCCTTGTCCCTAATCACAATCAGACCCTCTGTTACCTTGGTTTTATAGCAGTGATTTGAAAAATGCCTACAAAATGCAACTAATTATTCTTCTTCCCCCCCCC